GAATGCAATCATCATTCACACTTATATTGTAAAACATGCAAAAAAGTAGCAGTTGGTATATATAAGCGGTGTGAATGTAATAACGATAATTCTCGGATAATTAAAATAAATCAGAATCATACATAATTTTCCATAATTCACCCACGTAACATGTGTTAGAATAATTCCGCATATGAAATTTATATGTATGACTTATCGTTATGCATAACTAATTTGTGAGATGGGCATAAGTAAAAATCCATTTTTCTGGAATCAGTACCCCCTAACCAAAATCAGTCAATTAACTCATGATATGTTCTGAATTTTATTTTGTGGGGAGCCACTGGGGAGCCCAACTCCGGACTGAAACCTTATTTGGCCTAAATGCACACAATGTATGCATGTACGACGGAGTATCGAGTCTTATTTTTTAACGATTTTAGCCTTACATGGCTCTTTAACTCGTGATGCATATATTTACATAATCTATACAAAAATTCTTTGCAGAAATTTCTTTGCATGTCTCAGAGGCAAAGCCTCCTCACTTCGTGAGACTTCTATCGTAGAAATTTCGGTGTAAGAGTGCATGTTTTTGCTTCTGTCTAACCTATCTAACATTTCGAGTTTCAGGGAAGAGATAAGAAAAATATATAAAAGGGCAGTATCTCAAATTTACTGTTATTTGTCGCTTATTAGTGATTCGCTTCTAATATTTTTATATATTTAAATACGTAAAAAAAAATGAATACTTTACAAAGCTTTTTGAGAGTTGAACCTCTTAACCAGATTACAATATCCAGAGTGTTGCATAAATATTGGAAAGATTGTGGAGTAAATACCGAAGAAGCGGATTGCGAGCATGTTATAAAAATTTTGAAAGAGTTAACAGATGGAGATATTGATGAAAGTCGCAAGCAACATTTTACGTCATTGCAAGATATAGAGAAGGTAATCTATTATCGTTTGAAGATGAATATTTTTTAACGTAGATATGATGATTTTCACAATAGTGTAATGGTGTGGAGTAAGTGGTATTCCGCATTCGATGCGATGAGCTACCGACGATAATCTGCATTGTTATACTATTGTAATTATAATTGGTTATAATAGGCCGGCCATTACCTGATATATATTATTTAATATATATAATTTATTTATTTTTCCAAATAAAACTATTTTTTTTTTTTAAACCCAAGATACAATTTATGTGGAAAGAACTTAATGCATTGATGAAAGATACCGATTTATTCCGGTGAGTTAATTTACCGAATGAGTAGAATAAATTGTCTATACTTTATGATGCATAAATTGTAATAAACAAATGTATAAATATCATGCAGACCTAAACATGACAAACCGAAATGGAAAACTCGAGCTACATGTAATATTGGTAGCATGAAGGAAATTTTACGGCATCTGCGAAATGAATCGCAAACTCATTTTCATCTTTTTGAAATGTTATGTGATGCGGATGTTGATAAATTGCTGTGTAATGATCCATTAGTTAATAGTATAGTCGATCTCGGATCTCCCCGGTTCTCTCTAAAAGAAGAAGAGCAGAATGTTCTTGCGGTATGCATTTTTCATTATGTGATATTTTTTTTTATACAGGAACTGCCATCGTTTAAAAAATTTAATATTCCGTGAATAGGGTGAAAGGAGTTCTATAAAGGGGGTTAAGCATAGGTGCTTTGGTAAGGCAAGTATGTGCTAATTTCATTACAAAGAGGAACGAAATCAAGCAACGTTATAGGTTTATGATATTGCCATCTGAGAAAGTGACCCATGCGCGTTGGGTTGAACAAGAATATGAAAGAGAGCGAGTAGCAAGAAATATAACAGATGATCTTTTGCTAAAAATAAAATCGAATATCTTTCGTCGAGTTTCTGATGGGTCAGAGAATTCTCTTGTTGAAGCTATTGCTCACTTAATCGAGGCTTCTTTGTGCCAGTTACCACTCGAATATAACGTTGATGTGGTTAGAGGTGAAAAACAGAGCATTGCTAGCAAGAATCAGAAGGTGTTAGAGGAAAGTGGCTCAAGAGGAGATAAGCCCGATCTGATGATAATAGCATCTTTGAGACGGAAGCAGTATGAGGTTGCTTATGTGGAAAGTGGAAAATGGGATTCCAATGATAAAAAAATTTGTGATGATCATAACAAGCTTGCGAAACTTTGCTCAGATGGATATAAAGAAATTGTGAAAGAAAGGTTAAAAAGGTTTATATTGCATTTGGGGTTAATATTGCAGGTAATAATATACTTGTTTCATAATTTGTTGTTAGAATATCATCAATATAATAATATATTTTTTTATTAATATAGACAAGAAATTTATACTTCATGGGTTGGTGCAAGAAAAGGGTATAAAATACTATTTGCCAATTGCTAAGGCGAAAATTCCCTTCTGCGATGAGTCACTTGAAGAGGTAGAAGAATTTGTTCATACTTTGTTGATTTTACGGGTAAGAAATCGTTAAAGATGGAATTTAGTTATTTATATATTCTAAAAAAATTCTAAATTATATTAGAATGGAATTATCGTAAATTTACATAATCTTGGTCAATAAGAGCTTTTTATACTTTATTTTGTATTTTGTTTTTATTTTTTTTTTATATTAATAAACCTGGCACTGGTGGCTGATTTCGCATATATAATCACGTTTACTTTGCATGTATATTTTATGAATTTATTTTTTATATTATTATCGATGTATATTAACTCGTATATGATCGAGAATTTTTAAAATTTTTCTTGGCATTTTTTGATGAACATTGTTCGCTGAAATTTCATCACATGACTTCTGGTTTGGTTCTCTTGAAAAGATATCTTATAAAAATAATTGAAATTAAAAAGCATTAGAATAAAAAACCATTTTTCAGCACTTTGTGCAGACAAAGCCAAGACGTAGTTAATAAAAATCTTTTTCCGAGCATTTGTGATAAAGTTATATAATATAATATTAAATATGCGAACACAGGAAGAAAAGACTAAAGACTTATCCGAAACTGTTTCATTACGAGAATTAAATTCAAAGCTTATTGCCATAATTGCAGAACTTAGAAGGGAGAATTCTGAAATCAAGACTGAGAACGTCGAACTTAAAGCTGAGAATGTAAAAGTTAAAACTGAAAATAAAAAATTAAAACAAACTTTAGAAGAACATGGTGCCAGATTTACAAATCTAAAACAGAAAGATAAAGAAAAAACTAACCTTATCGCTAAACTTGAGCAGAACGATAAAGAAAAAATGGATCTTATAGCTAAATTGAAATATGACGTTTCACTAATCAAAGGACAAGACAAGAGTATGGTGTGCAATCAAATCGTTACTAATGTTTCACAAGATATAGAACCTGGAATCTCTGATTTATATCTTGTAAATTCTAACGATGTTTCTGAAGATATAAATTTACTATGTAATGATATTGATATAACTAATAATGCTTCAAATTCTGATGAACATCAAGAAGAAACTTCATCTCGAGTCTCCAATTTATCTTCGACTGCATTAGCCATATGCGTAAAGCCTAAATCATTAGCAGGTAAGGAAATAGATAATTTTCTGATTGAAAAGCATAATTGTAACGAAATAAGAGAAAAAAAGCTTCAACATAGGCCACCTACTGAAAGTTTTCCAAAAGAGGACACTTACATATTTAATATTAAATCTAGTATTCCTCCCGAGCAGAAAAAGGAGCAAGGTTTAATACAAGAGATTTCAACATCCATTAAAGATCAGAATGATATAACTAGAATTTCACAGAACAATGTTCGTCAAAATTATATGACTGAAGTTGCTTCAGACTAAGATATCATTTGTTTATACCAAAATGCATGTGATGCAGAAAAAGATGCTATCAAAGCTAATCAAGAAGAAATATTATGCTGGTGTTTCTACGCTAAAAAGTTTAAAGGTATGGTTAAAGATTTTATGGCTAATGGTAGAGTTGGAGAGAAAAAAGCAAAAGGACAAGTATACGATTTTATTATTCAACAACTTCCTAACACAAAGCGTGAAAACTTATGCAAGCAAACACAAAAAGCATTAAGAGTTTATAACTTATTCGAGAAAATAGGAATGGATAAGATTCAGTATACCAAATCTTATACTGCAGATAGTATTTCAAGATTTACTAATTTACAGATTCAAACAATTATTGATCATTTCACTAAAAACCCTGCGATAGAATTCACCGATAATTCTTCTGATGACTTACTCGAAACTGAGATTAATGAGGAAGCTAAAAGAATTTCATCAGAAACAGAGGTAAGTATTACAACCACCCCCTCTATCCTGTTGTCTCATACATATAATTCGGAAGTTATGATAAATGAGGATGTCAAATCTTTGCCAGAAACTGAGGTAAGCATATCTGCTAAATCGATTTCAAAGGAACCAGAAACTGTAAATGTATTCGATAAGTATAATGAAAACGATGGTGAATTCTCTGATGATAACGATGATGAATTCTCTGATGATAACGATGATGGAGATTATTGCAGTTTTTCTGACGAAGATGAACCAGGTTATTACTATGATTTAAGTAGCGGGAAAAAAACTTATAAGAATTCTGATTATTTAATCAGTGCATATTAAAAGCATAGAAGTTAACTTAATAGTTTCCACTAATTAATAATCACAAACTACATTGTAAAAAATCGCGTAAAAATAAAACATGGGAAGGCCACAGGACCCCCCTTCTTTATTTAATAAATTTTTTTTTGCCGAAACGGCATACAAATAAAAAAATATATATTAACTTTGATCTAGAATATTTAGTGCGTCCCTACGACTTAGACGACTATGGTCATCATTATCTATACAATATTGTGCGTATTCTTTTGAAACATAATAAAAAGG